CTCTGAGAGTCCACCCAGTATTAGCAGTCTCAGCGTGGAGCCCGTAATAGCCAGAGGCTGGAGCATCTGACCTTGTAAACAGAACCAAGAGAGTTGCCTGTGAACGTGACCCCTGCCCACCCCACACGGCCCCCTCTTGGCTTCCTGGGGTCACCCGGGCAGTACCTGCTGAAGATGTAACTGATGACCCCAGTATAGCCTCACCATTCAGGCACTCTGAGAGCCAGGGAGAGGCAAACACAGACCACAAACGCCCTCCTGGGAAAAGGTAGATGTAGAGCCGTGAGGGGGATGCATGTTTCATTTTTTAATTGCAGTAGAGTTGATTTACAATGTTGTGTTAACTTCTGCTGTACAGCAGCCTGATTCAGTTACACATATATCTACATTCTTTTTCATATTCTTTTCCGTTATAGTGGTGCATGTTTCATTTTAATTATGTGCAGACTATATAAGCAATGACTCACTAGGTCTGCGTGGAAAGATTTTCCAAGGGGGAATTTTCACAGTTGTCCCTTCAGTGTTGTGTTTTCTACAGAGAAAAAGAAAACACAAGGGGACAAAAGGGCGTGCGGTCAGGGCCAGGGCCTTTGACAAGGTGGGTGGGGTTCTGTCTGGCCCTAGTCTAACTTTGTGACCTTGAACACGAAGACAGGAAAGTAGCAACGATCCCATGCCCATAGGTCAGCATCCTGAGGAGTCCCCCTCTGCACCAAGGCAGAGTTATCCTCTCAAATCAGGGCACTCCCTGAAGGGCCTTCCATGGCTCCCCATTTTCCATGGGACAAAGTCCAAATTCCATAGCAAACCTCCCAAGACCCTGCATAATTTGAGGACATTTCCTAGTTTTTCTACACAAGGCTCATTTCTTGCAGAGTAGTCAGTGGGCCTCAGGGGCACAAGGAGGAGAATAAAGCACTAAGTCCTTCGCTGGGGAGAGGCCTATTGCAAAGAAGAGCCTTCAGATACAGGGTCACCTCCACCTAGAAGCCTTCCCAGATTGCCCCAAGTAGAAATGACCTCTCCTTCCCTCATGGCCCAGTCTGCACTGAAGAGACACTTCAGGTGAAACCCGTCCACACACTGCACTGTTTTAGCACGATTCTCTCCCTCTGGCAGATTAGAAGCCCCATGTGGACGGGCCCAACTGTTGTCTTTGGACAAAGCCTGGGGCAGCACCTAAATAGAGTAGGCCGTCAATCAAGGCCTCTAGGCTAACCGGCCACATAAACGAATTTCGTGTGAAAGGAATGTTCTCGGTGTAGCAGCACTTTCCTAGGGACTACACTGAAGACCTCTCTCCCCTCAGTTGGTGCTGAAATGCTGCAGCTGTTAAAGGACGCTCGGCGGCTCTGAGGGGCCGGGATGCAGACCCTTACTGGGTCTCACTGGAGGCTCTTCTCTGCCTGGGAGCAGCAGGCCTGTTGTAACGATGACCTGCAGGCTGTGAGTGGCCCCCAGGACAGGGACAGCACTGCAGTCAGCACTGCTCACATCACCCCCGACCTCCTCGCTGCTGGTCCACTCACCCACCCAGAGGGGAAGTCCTGTGCTCGCTTTCCTTTCCCCACAGGTAGAACACTCCGCTTTCTTTCTTCTTAAGCTGTTTGGACTTTGTTTCCTCCTTTGACGCCGTGACCCCCTCGGTGGCTCCAGAGGGGACCTCCTGTGCTTCCCTCCGCCGCACAGAGCACTGGCTGACAGCCGCCCTGTGTCCCGGGCAACCCCGAAGCAGCCCCGCGATGCCTGTCCACTCAGAGCGTTTAACTACTGTTTAAAACTCAAGAGCTCATTGCAGGAAAATAGCACTAAATAATATGAAATACTAGAGTCCTGTAGGAATAGGAACCGAAGTGCACGATTAACACTATAGGAGTGGGAATAGGAACAGAAATGTATATTAATGCTATAAGAATATTAACAGTTTAGCATAGTGTAGTAATACTAAAGTGCTATAGGAATAGGAACAGGAATATGCTATTAATGCTATAGTAATGGTAACAGTTTAGTGTACTAATACTAAAATGCTATAGGAATAGGCATGGGAATATACTATTAATGCTATAGTAATGGTAACGGTTTAGTATAGTGTACTAAAACTAAAATGCTATAGGAATGGGAATATACTATTAATGCCATAGTAATGGTAACAGTTTAGTACAGTGTACTAATACTAAAGTGCTATAGGAATGGGAATATACTATTAACGCCATAGTAATGGTAACAGTTTACTATAGTGTAGTGATACTAAAGTACTATAGATAGTACTTTCCTACAGTAGAAGGAAAACAGTACTAAATAACAAAATCAGTACTAAATTTCATGGTGGTAACAATATTTTTTAAGCCTTAATGAGATGTTTTTCCTCTTTCTGAATACTTTCCGCTTCACACACGATACTTTCTGCAGTTCTGATGCCTGTTCAATTGAAAATTTGAAAACAAAGATATTTTTTAAGTGTTGGTATAGCAAGAACATAACTAGGATAAAAAGGACACGAAAGGCTTTTGCCACATTTGTATTCATGCTGTGTTTGAATGTCGGTATTGTCAGTCAGGCTTCCTCTGGTTGCAAGGGGCAGAAACCTGCCTGGACCTGACTTCCACGGACGCAGGCACCGTCTTGCTCAAGAAGGGTTGAGGGGGCCGCAGGGACACAGCTGGGCCTCAGGGAGAGCTGAAAGCAGGGCTCTGAGGCCACAGCCTTCTCTCGTCACCCCAAGTTCTCCGTGAATGTCAGGTGCATCTCTGTCTCACCTTCAGACTGGCTTTGGCCGTGTGGCTAAAAGGCATGGCGTCAGACAGTTTGAGAGTTTTAGTTTCTGATAAATTCTGCCACCAGAGCTGGAATACGTAACCTACCCCTCTCCCTCCCTCTCTTTCCTCCTCTCTCCAAACATCCCCATAAAAGGTATCATGTTAGCCCCTCCCAGGTCTTGGCCTACCTCGGCCAAAGGTAGAGCACTGTGGTTGGCCCAGCCGGAACCAAGTTCCTTGTCCGCTGCAGAATATTCAGGAGCAGCATCCCAGGAGGATGAGGCCGTGTCCACAAGATGGGAGGGGAGTTAATGGCAGCTCAGTTTCTAAGAACGAGAGGTCTAGACAGTCAGTACTACAGGTGTGATCCGCACTCTCCCTTTAGGGGGACTCAGAACCTGATTCTCTCTCTCACAACCCAGCCGCACAGTTGAAGGGGACAGAACAGAGGGCTTGTGGCTGGTGACCCTTGAAATGTTCATCAGTAGCAAGAACGCATTTTCCTAGTAATTAATCCTCATCTCTTCTACCAGATGCCAGTTCAGCAATCTCATACCATGAGATTCAACTTTCATTCATTTTATTTTATTCACTTGTTCAGAGCATATATTTCTTTTTTAGTGTTTTTTAAATTTATTTTTGGCTGCGTTGGGTCTTCGTTGCGATGTGCGGGCTTCTCATTGCGGTGGCTTCTCTTGTTGTGGAGCACAGGCTCTAGGTGCACGGGCTTCAGTAGTTGTGGCACACGGGCTCAGTAGTTATGGCTCATGGGCTCTAGAGCGCAGGCTCAGTAGTTGTGGTGCATGGGCTTAGTTGCTCTGCGGCATGTGGGATCTTCCCGGACCAGGGCTCGAACCTGTGTCCCCTGCACGGGCAGGCAGGTTCTTATCCCCTGCACCACCAGGGAAGCCCTGCATATATTTCTTGAGTGCCTATTTTGTATCAGACACTCTGCTCATGTGGAAGATATAAAAATGACCAAAACATTGTCCCTGCCACAAAGAGGTTACAGTCTAGTGGGAAAGGCAGCCTTGGAAACATGTGGTGACCACATGTGATGACCAAGGTGTGACCATCAAGGTATGAATTCAGTGCTGCAGGATTCGATGTGGAGACAGAGAGGGAACGGACGCATATATAAACCCATATTGTAAACACAATCCACATGCTTCCTCTTCTCCGATCAGTTATTAGCATCAGGATGTTCCCTCCCTCATCCAATGGCTTGTGTTTACCCGACACTTTCATTCACATCCTCCTCACACCTCAGAATCATCAGCCATGTGAAGCAGGTAAAGCAAGCATTATCCTTCTCATTTTGCACGTGAAGAAATCACGATCCCATGGTGAGTACATGACAGCACTGGCCCTCAAACCCATGCCTAGGGCTCCAGTACAAGGCCAGAGCCACCGTGCTGCACTATCTACTGCTAGATACAGAAACCCTACTGGAAAAAGAAACCTCGTCCTGATCTGTCCCCAGAGATACGCAGAAGGACTCTGAGCCACGTTCAGCAGCCATCTGGGTCATCATCTGCGTGTGGCCTTCAACACTCTGCCCTCCGTCGGTGCCTCTGGTCTCTGACCCCCACCGAGTCTCCATCCCCATCCCCGTCCCCGTATGAGGCCAAGTCTGTCTGCTGCTCTCGGATCTCACTGATACAGTGATGAGAAAGGACTCAGCACTGACCAAGGAAAAGTCACACATAAGATGTGAATATGGATTCCATTCTCCAGAGCGGTGTGTCTAAGACTTCAAAGTGTACATCAGTCATCTGCAGTTGCATCTCGTCCAAGTGCAGATTTGATGGAGCAGGTTTGACATAGGACCCAAATTTTCTATTTCTAGCAAGCTCCCAGTGATGTTGAGGCTGCTCGTCCGCAGACCACACTTGGAGAAGCAAGGATCTGGATTGAGGATGCTAACGCATCTCAGCCACTCTTGGGAAAGACAGCAAGTCACTCGGCTGGTGCTTCCTTAAAAAACTTGAGATGGAAAATAGACATGTGACCTTGAATAAAATATTATTATAAAGACATGTTTTTAGGAGGAACCCTGAGATGAAAATTAAAAGGTCTTGTAAACTTATGTGTATAACGCAGCCCACCTCTGCTTCACTTTCCCTGAGTTGAAAGTAACAAATCACCTCCAGCTAATTAATGCATGTGATGTTGTTTGGAACAAAACCTTATGGAAAATGCAGGTTATAACCCATGGTATTTTTCTTGTCTTTTTCTCTATAGGAGATGTCAGTGAAAAAAAGGGTCCAGAATGATTACTAACCCATGACTCCCAACAGTATGACAGGTATCTGTTTTATTTTCTTTACTTTGTGTGTTTCCATTTTTGTTCCACCCAAAGAGAAATATAGGCTCCCTAAAAGACCAACCTAAGAGTCTTAGCAACAGTTGTTTCCCAGCCAATGAGTGTTATTAAATGCAATACTCTGGTTTCTTTTCAGCTCGTATAAATCTTTCGCCTTTTACTAAACATTTCTGTGGAGAGGGGGGAAAAATGCAAATATATCCTGTGACTACATCCCAACAAATGTGCTTCCAGCTTTTTCGGAAGCCTTGAGATGCATCATCACCAGAAACATGATGGGAGGAAATGATATTTCACAGTGAAATCCTAGTTTTCAGCCTTCCCAAGGTTACCCTCTCACACCCAATACTTTTACCTGCCACATTCATTCAGATCAGTATAAGAAATAGCTCTATGTACTCAGTGACCACTGAGTTCAGGCATCTTCCTGATGGAATATTCAGCAGCAGAGTCAGAGTGGAATATGATGAGAGCACATAAGCTAAAGTGAGCTAGAAAGCAAGGGACAGAGGCGAGACAGAATGCCCCCTGAGGAACAGAAGGTTGCAATAGCACGGATTCTCTGTTCAACGCACAGAGCTGGGGTTACAAACTCACAGGCCCCAGGGGCCAGATAGATAACGCCCATGCCCAAAACAGCTGTCTGTCAGGAAAAACAAACCAGACAGGAGAGCCAGGCAACAAGCAGGGAGGGAACCCAGTGTGTCCAGAGATTTCAAATTTTCAAGAGAAGCTGGAAGCCAGATTTGGAATGAAATATCCCCATTTCTATTTGCGTTTTTTTTGGAGGGGTTTTTTTGGCCGCGCTACACTGCATGCGGGATCTTAGTTCCCTGACTAGGAATCAACCCCTTGCCCTCTGCAGTGGAAGCACAGAGTCCTAACCACTGGAATGCCAGGGAATTCCCCAAAATATCCCCATTTCTAAATGCAAGCAATTAACATATAAAAATATCAAGGATTCATGGGCCAGTCAAAATACGTCTTCTGACTAGAATCAACCAGTGGGCTCTCAGTTTATAACCACACCTTCCAGCCCAACCCCAAGCCTAGGACTGTCATTTGGTTACCATGGCAGCAGGGTAGGTACCCATAGACCTCAGCCTTCTGCAAGTTTACAAGCCTTAACGAAATGACCGTAACCTTACATCTCCCAGAATCACTGCCCTGTCTCTCGACCCACTGATACTTGAGTTCCTGGTGCAGCAAAAAGATAGACCACCTGAACAAACTGGAATGATTCACACCTGTAGGATAGCCTCGGAATCCCATCTCATCTTCCCATCTTATTTCTCAGTAACAGGCACCAAAACACACCCTCCGCCATTTCTGTGTCACTGCCAACTTGACCATTGTAGCACGGAAAGCTGTGGACAATACATAAACAAATAGGCGTGGCTGTATCTCAATAAAACTTTATTTACAAAACAGGCAGCAGACCAGCTTTGGCCCGAAAACTGTAGTTTGCTGACTCTTATTCTAGGGGTCAGGATAGTCTTATTGTTGAGCAGAATCCCCAGGCCAAATCAGCTCATCTCCAGGACAGAGCTAGAAATCCAGGCTCACTCTAAGGCGGTTCTGTATTAAGCCAGCTTTCAGCCCATCTGCGGATGCGGGATGCTTTCCCTGTGGGCTGTGCTGGAACCAGCTGCCCCCCCTCCCCGTGTAGGAGGATGCTTTTGCTTCCCAGCATTTGCTTCATAGCATAGAAACTAACAGCAATTCTATTTTCAAAAGAAATCTACTCCACACATGCATATGCTCAGTCTATGTTAATGGGCTCAGCTGAGAAAATCATTGCTTTAGACTCTCTTGTTTGTGGATGAAATAAAACAGTGTCCTTTTCCCTCTGTCTTTTCCTATGGCCTCAAGCTGCATGTTTATTTTAAGAAACCTAAAAGGAGACCATAATAAAGCTGTAAGTCATCAGAACTAAGTGCTTGCTTTAAAAGCATAACTTAAAGGGCAAATATGCATATTTTCTTTTTGAAACACATAATGGGTACTATTACTGTTATGCAATACAGGAAATCAATTAACCTTTATGAAAAGAAAACCAATTTTTAAATGAACAGGAGTAAGAACATTGAATGTGTTTTGCCAAAACCCAGCAGACAAGCACTTTCAGATTAAAAAAACGCCTTCAGCCACTTATGAAATTTCTGTATTTTGCATTAACTCAAATGGAGAATGGTTTATTTTCCGGGGCTATTTAATATCCACTGCAGTGGAGTGAAGTCCTGCTAAAATGTTCTCGTTGCTCTACCTTGACCTAATTTGACATTAGGATTGTATGAAATCGCTCACCGAAAATACCGATTCTTAGAGGAAAGGAAGGAAGTGCCTTGATACCGTATTTTATTGGTCTGGGATTGAGCACGGCTTCCTAGGGAATCTTTGGGGGACTCTGCTAACATTTATGTCATTATAATGAGCTCCACTTTGCAGAAAATCATGATTCGTCGCATAGGGGAGTTTGTTCTAAGATATGAATACCTAAAATTTTAAATACCCAAATGAGAGGCTTTTAGCCTTGACTGAAAAGGGAACGAAGAACTCGGACCCCTCTAAATGTGCCTAGAGAGGCAGAAACAGGGCTCTATTACATTGGCCCTGACCTGGTTCTAGGGAGTTGGGATGCGACATAAAGTCACCCCTGTGATGAACCTGCCACGTGAATAACATAGACCTCGGTCAGCAGTGTGACCTGCACCTCTTCTCTGTGACCTGCTTGTTCACCTAACTTCCCAACTGCGACCTTTGCCTTCTCCTTTTTCTCGCTCAAGGCATTGTATTCAGTGTGTCCCAGGGGCCAGGGGAGGAGTGTCTGCATGATGGGAAAGACCGGAGCGTTCTGGAGGTGTCGCAGTGTTTTCACTGTGTGATCCTCAGGTTGTTTGCCTGTTTGTTTTGTGTGTGTGTTTGTTTCTTCGCTTTCTTAAATGGCGGTATAGTTCTTTTACAATGTCGTGTTAGTTTCTGCTGTACAACAAAGCGAATCAACTGTATGTATACATATATCCCCTCCCTCTTGGATCTTCCTCCCTTCCCCTCCCCCCGGCCCACCCATCTAGGTCACCACAGAGCACCAAGCTGAGCTCCCCGTGCTATACAACAGGTTCTCCCGCTAGCTATCTGTTTTACACATGGTAGTGTACATATGTCAATCCTAATCTCCCAATTCATCCCACCACCCCCGGCCCTCCCTGTGTCCACGCGTCCATTTTCTACATCTGCGTCTCTATTCCTGCCCTGCAAATTGGTTCATCTGTACCATTTTTCTAGACTCCACATATATGCGTTAATATACGGTATTTGTTTTTCTCTTTCTGACTTACTTCACCCTGTATGACAGGCTCTAGGTCCATCCACATCTCTACAAATGACCCATTTTCATTCCTTTTTTCAAAAAGGTAGAAAAGCAAATTTGTCGTTGGTGGTAGGAGGTCATGACGGGGAGGGTTCTTTACCCTTCCCAACATCTTGTATAGGTGGGAGGTTGGAGGCCACAGAAAAGGCAGTAGATGGGGGCACATGCCCCACTCTGAACAATATAGAAGAATCTGATTTAGATGCTTTGTATCAAAGCCCCTTGTCCTGATTTGTTAAGCATGATGAAATTTATATTTCTTACTATGCCTGAGGTTGAAATTGTTTTGCATGTCTATTGGCCACTTGTATTTTTTTGCTTCATCCGTAACTTCCTTGCTTGTTCATATATAGTGTCCAGTTGCCCGTTGCGGGTTTTATATTTTTCTCATTATTTGTAGAAGCAATTTCTTACGTATTCAAGATAATAACAAAGCAAGCCACCTAATGTCTCTAGAGGTTGACTTCCTTGTCAGTTAAAGGAGAAAGTGAGAAATTCTCCCTCTACTTTGAAGATTAGGTCGCACCTCAGATATGAACATTTGTAAATCACATTTTCATAAAGTCGGTCACGGGTACATTGAAGGCTGGGTGTAGAGAAAAAGGGCACCCTGGAGAAAGTTTTCTTGTGTGTTTTGGGACAATCCTAATGTATAGTTTTTTCAGAGTCAAACAAATCACCTAAGCTGGGGAAGCTCGTGTTTTATTGTAAAGCCCATGTCATTTTCAAAGGTGGCCTCCCTAGTGTTCCTGAGACTTTTCAACCCCTCCTTATGACCGCTGCCTTCCTTCCTTCAGAGATAGAACCACAGTTGTGCTCTTGTTCTACAACCTATGGAGAATATCTCCTCACAAGGCCAGAGCTTGCTCACAGCCAGATAATGACGCCACTCAAAGATAATGAATGTTGGGCTTCCCTGGTGGCGCAGTGCTTGAGAGTCCGCCTGCCGATGCAGGGGACACGGGTTCGTGCCCCGGTCCGGGAAGATCCCACATGCCGCGGAGCGGCTGGGCCCGTGAGCCATGGCCGCTGAGCCTGCGCGTCCGGAGCCTGTGCTCCGCAACGGGAGAGGCCACAACAGTGAGAGGCCCGCGTACCGCAAAACAAACAAACAAAAAAATAGATAATGAATGTTAACGGCTTGCGTGTTGTTAGCATTTCCCATCAAAAATGCTCTTCTAAAATGGGATTCTGTTCACAGCTACTTAGTGACCCATCAAACCCGTGTTAGGCTTTTAATATACTGTTATCATAAATAATGTTATAATGAACCACAGTGTACATAATGTGACACCTCTCTGATTATTTCCTCATGATAAATTCTACAAAGTAAAAAAAACAAAAATGCTGGGTCAAAGGGACTGAACATCTTTCAAAACCTTTTCTGTTGCCAAATCGTAACCAGGTCACGGGACCAATCGGCACTGTAGTGTCCATTTAATCACATTTCCTCTAACTTTGGAGTTTTGTGGTAGTTTAATTTTGAGAAAGGCAATTAATTAGGCAAAGTTTTATCACAGTTTTTATCAAAGTTTTTCAAAACTTTACATTTTTCTTATTGGTAATAGATTTGACTACACACACAAACACACACACACACACACACACACAC